TCTCTCTCTCTCTCTCTCTCTCTCGCACACACACACACACAGACACACACGCACACACACACACACACACACACACACACACACACACACACACACACACACACACACACATACAAACACACACACACACACACTCACTCGCTCACAATCAATCAATCAATCAATCAATCAAACCCCTTTTTTGAAGTTTTTTCTTTATTTATTTTTAAATTTTGCATCTGCATTTTTTTTAAATACCTCATACCCCTGCAAAAAACAGAAATTCATTTCTAAAAAAATACATGTGAACTCAGGGACCATATATCTCATGATAAAAAATGACAAACGATCCGGACGGACATAAACCACCACTTTTTCCTAGAAGAAAAAACTGTCATTTAATTTAGTTGCCCAGTTTCTTAGCTGGGAAGATTTTTGCGAGGGAATGCTTCAATAAAAAAACACTTCATAGAAGGATAGATCCTTCCTTTGATGGAGTGTTATGTTGTCGATGAAGTCTTCCCTGCCCGCGACTAGCAACCTGGTTGACTTACAAAAAAGTTGATGACATGTAGCTGGAAGGACTGGTGGCTGTAGTATGTCGGCATCCGGAACTTCCCGTATCGACAGACAGTGTGGACAGTCGTCGTGTGTATGGCGCAGACTTTAGTCGGCCGACATCCGGACTACGAAGGAACCCCGCTCTCATTTTCGTAAGCGTGGGCGCGCAGACAGTGTGGCGTTCTTCACAGCTTACCAGTCGGTTTGTTTTTCCACTCCTTCGTCGGTGAAGTTGGTGTGGGCAAAGCGAGCACGTTGAGAGCTTGAGTGTCGACCATAGATTTTTTAGGGGACGTGACATGTTGTCGTCCCCTTACCTCGCCTTCCCCTCGACTAGCGAGGGTGGCCGGCAGTACCGGTGAGTTCGGCGGCGAGAAAGCGAGGGCAACTGCCATGGAAGATTTGACGTTGTGAGCGTCATCAACGCCAGGCATTGTGGACGGATGTGCGGACACGTGCTGCTCGCCGAGGATACCATCGATAACTTCTTCGATGCTTATACGGCGGCTTGCTTTAGATGAGCTCATAGCAACGGCAGCCTCGTCGAACCAATGTTACAGATCGACGACAAACATAAGTGGTTGGACCTCATAGTCTTCATGCTCTGCAGAAAGGCTGCTAACCACCTGTGTCTCCACCTCCATTGTCGTGGCATCGTCGTCGGCATCATCCTCGTGATGCTCATCGTACAGTTGTCCGAACTCTTCAGACGACTCTCCAGATCCGGCATCGTCCTTACTGTCCTCCCCTTCGTCGTCTCCAATACCCACGTCCCCTTTGGCACCCTCTCTTTCTTTCAAGCAATTCAATCAGCTCCGTTTCTCCCCCTTCCTCCCCTTCCTCCCCTTCCTCCCCTTCTTCCCCTTCTTCCTCCCCTTCTTCCCCTTCCTTCCCTTCCTCCATTTCCTCCTCTCCTTCGCTTCTATGCAATTCAGACCCTTCTCCGGTACCCGTGTTGAATCCCGACGACACAAAAATCCTTGGCCGACCCCCCCCCCCGTGAAAAAGTTCGGATCTCGGCGGACTTCATCGTCTCTGTGTCGTCGGACCATGCACTTGTAGCCTCTCGTTGCAATCCTAGCGGTCGTCACTCCCGCTCAGGCGACACATTTCCGTCCCTCACCGCACCGTTGCCAATTGTGGGATCTTGGCTCGGCTCCCCCAACCCCGAGCGGCTCTGCACGGTGGACCGCTCTTGCGGCACCTCAACTGACGTAGTTCATATCCCGACGGACTTCAACGTTCTGCCCGAGCGGTTGCCGAGAGCAACCAAGGCTGCCAAAGTCTCCCTCGCTGAGCCCACGGACGAAGTCGGGAGGTTGGCGGATTGCGTCGTAGGGTTCGGCCCGGGGTCAGTAGACGGATGCCGATGAACGACAAAATCCGGCACCCCACCGCTGTCCCCGGTGTCGTGGTGCCGCCGTGAGACCATCCCTCCCCACTAGTCGGGACTCCTTTTCCACCCCCCGCACTGCCAGCCCCGTCCCCTCCACCGCCTGGTGCCCCCCCCCCAGAACTCCTCTGCGCCCCACTGGGAGGGGGCACTTTCCAGTTCACCATGCCCTTCGACCGGCTCGTGTCGAGCTCGTAGTAGTCCTCTGTCAATTCCAACCAGCACTTGTCCTGAAGCTCGTCGAACAGTCGCCCGACTATGGAAACGACCGACAAGTCGTCGGGTGCAAACGTGTCATTTTCGGCCTCACTTTTTGGAGGACCGAGATCCTCGCGAGGTGCAGGAAAGTGGAGATCGACTCCCGAGGGATGAACACCCATCTCACGTCCGGGACTGCGATGACCATGACCCACTCGCCCTTTTGTATCGCGGGCTGGATGACTCCTGGATACCAAATCAGGCAAATGACTTTGTGGCTCAAGAAGGAAGTGGATGTTGTCATCCTTCCAAGACGGATGATCGGGCGGGATATCAGACCTGGGACGCAATACGCGCGGGGGAACGGCTAAAGCTTTCAATCTCTCCAACAACTCCATCAGCGTGGTGTCCGGCGGCGCCGACGCCGGTCTGGCCATCAGTGACACGAGGGGTGTCGAGCTTGTCGACGGATTGGCCGATGAAGATCCTCAGGCGTGCTCCTCCGGAGCTGGGTCATACTGCAGGTCGAGGCTCTCGGTGTTGCTCTCCTCCTCCTTCGCGTTGGCGTCGAACTCCACACCGGTGACTGCCTCGTCGTCAGTGGAGATCAAGGAAGCGTAATTGTCGAACTTCAACTCCTCCTCGGACTCGACGAAGTACAGGGACTGCAGCCTTTCAAGAAAGGTCTTCGCGTTCATGCGGGAGGCGAAGTGGTGGTTGTCGAGCAACGCCAACATATGGTCCCTGCGGCGGACGTACTCGGCGTCAGTGTCCTTTCTCGGCCGCGTTTAAAGGAACAAGAAGTCGTATATCTTGTTCCTCTTCCTCTCACTCAACTTGAAACACATGCCCGTCTTGTTGCTCCACACCCGATCTCGTGTCGCCTTCACGACCATGAACTCACAATTGTGGGCTCCCGAATTCACCTCGCTTTTGACGAGTTGCATTGTGAATTGCAAGAGGTCGGAGTTCCCGTCCATCGAGACAACGTGCCGACCTGCCTTCAGAAGTTCCCACACGCTTCGCGCATGCGACTTCCCAAGGAAGACGACACCCTCTCCCTTCTTGCTAACGAAATCAAGAAGGCCGACGAATTATGTCGGATTGCGTTCCATGTCCCCGTAGACACTGCCCTGTCTTTCAGGCGCGGTCTGCGACCTGTCGCAAGGTGTGAAGGGAATCTCCAACACATCCGTCTGGGCAACCCTCTGAGGCAACCGCACCGGAGCAGCGGCACCCTTTGGCAGCCTTCCTTCGTAGACGAGGGACGTGTTGACGTGCAAATCGTCACCCTTGAAGAAGACGTACATGCGGTCGTCTTCCATGTACAGATTGTTCCCCACGGGGAAATTTTTCTTTTTGCTGGCTCCTTCTCACGCACTTCCCTTCCAACAGCTTTACGAAAGAAAGATGGTACATGCTGGCCAGAAATAAGAGGTTGTGTTGCCGTGGCACGAAAACAACGAGAGTCCAATGCGACGGACATCACATCTGAAGATAGGAATTCAAAGTCTCGAACGCTTGCGGTTTCCATAGCTTCAGGTCAACTGGTTTGCACAAATCGAGGACGAAAGTGTGGCTCTTTCAGGCAGTCACGGCTTCCTTCAGCTCTGCACTCCGGACGTCCGCCTCCAAAGGGTCGTTGTCGAATGGTGCGATGGATGTCACGTCCCTCGTGTCTTTCCATTTTATGTGCACAATGCCTTCGGCAAGTGTGATCTCCCGACTCTTCAGTCTACTCCCTGTCAACACGGAGAGAACCTTGTTTCTCCAGTCGACGGTCAAGTTCCTATGGCTGGCCAACTTTTTCGTCGCCTCGATCGACTGGTCCTCGCCGCAACCCATGTACGGTGGGTAGTCCATGAACAACGCCGCGTCAGAAACGCATTTCCTGCTACCGTCCCACAAATCGTCATCCAATACTCGATTTTTGAACTTTTTGAAGACGGCAGACTTCGATTTTAGGAAAGGGTACTTTTGGATCCAATCCTCGTCCGGCTTCTTCTCGTGCTTGAATTGGTAGTAATTCCACAACCGGACCAGCACGTGGTCGCACTTCACCAACTGCACCATTTCCTGCACGTTGAGCTTCCAGTTGAGCTTCCCCAGCTTCGCCAACGAGGGGGAGCCGGCCTGGGCCCAAACGACCTCCTAAGCAAGCACGTTCTTCAGAACGCGACACTTCTCATTGTCGGTCAATGCTTCCATCGCTTTACAACAATGCGTGTTCGGCTCAGGCACTTGCACGAACTAATCACCCTCCTCTTTCTCCTTTTTGCCTTTCTTAGTCAGCGGCTCAACAGGAACGTTCTAAACGACCTCCTTTCTGCCCAACTTGTCGTTGTCGATGTAGGCGACCCCCGGCTTGACGTTTTTTACTCGAACCTTCTTCTTTTTGACGATGCACTTTGCTCCGTCGTGGCCCAACAAACTACCTGTCTCTCATTTTTCAAAAAATTTCACGACCAGTTTCCAGACATTCTCTCCGGCCATCGCCAGTGGGAAATAAGAACGCAGAGCAACATTTTGCTTCTTAATGGCGTCCTCTCCCTTTTGATCTGCGAGAATCCACAAGTTGTTGTACGGCGTCTTATGGAGCGCCATCGTACAGAACTCACACCATTTCCAGACCTGTTCTTGTTTCCCGTTAGGGTTCCCCATGACAGCTCTAGGGAAAACATTATGCTTCCACTGCCACCGAATTTCTTTTATGGACAGTTTCAACTGTCTAGGAGGTGCCTTGAGGTCCTTCTTCTTGTCCAGGGAACTAACAAGAAAATACCCTTCGAAGTCGTTGTCCGAAAAGTACACCATTCGTGTCGGCCACCGCTCGAAATTGTACTTCTTGGCCACCTCGCTGTCGAGCAACGATCGGGCTGTAGCCGCGTTGCGCTGCCCACACACTGCGTAGTAGTAGTATTGTCCCGCCAGCTCGTCCTTCCATTCCTCCGGCTTCAGACGTTGTGCCTTGTTCCTTGGAGTTGGTTCTTGCAGCCCCAGTAGTGCCAGCTTCAGGGTTGGCAACTCGTACTTTTGTTCTTTGTTTTCGATCGTCAACCACATCGCTTCTTTGATCCCTTCAACGAGGAGAGGATCCAAGGACCGCTGGTTGTACAGATCTTCCCACTCCCCGAGGTCGACGACCTGAGCAGGGCTAATCTCGAACTCCCGCTTCGTCCTGACGCTGTCTTTGTACTCCAGGAAGTACCCGGCGTCGACATCGATGGCAAGTCGTGGTGAGGAAGGTCCTGACGCAGGCTGCTTTTGTTTTGAAGCTGGACATTTGTTACCCGGATGGTCCTGTTCCCCATCCGTTCCCTTCCGTTTCTCCCCCACACTCTTCGGGGCCTTGGTCTTCTGTTTCTTCGAAGAGCCGACAACGTCGTCTTGACGATCTCCCCTCTTTTTTTGCGGAGCGCCCTGCGTTCCCTCTCCGTCCACGGTCTCGTCCTCCGTGCCATGGCCCTCGGCAGTCTCCAAGTCGACCTCACAGTGGACTGCCGCCTTTCCGGGAGCCGCAGCGACCTCCTTTCGAACTGGAGCGGCTTGTCGGGCCCTAGGTATAGACAGCACGGACCGGTCTCCTCGACTCAACGACGAAGACGTCGGTAGCGATGTTGCCTCATCTTCGTTGTCATCAAATTGACCGCGGCTCTCCCCCCGCTGCACTTGAGTAGCCGCACCGAAACCCAGATCCCCCCCCTCCAGCGCAGCCCTGCTGGATTCACAACCGCCGCACAATTGCAAGGGTTTTGACAACTCCTGGTCGGGGCTGACGTCGCAGGGGACGTCGAGGCCGACGTCCTTCTCCTCCAACAAGTTAAAAGACTCACTAGCCAAAACAAACCCGCCCTGTCGAAGGAGGTCGTTGTAGAACGGTGTGTTCACAGCACCCACTCCGAACCCCTCGAACAAATCCATGTCCAGCAGCGCCCCCTTGGAATTAGCGATGATGTTGCCTTTCACACACTAAATATTTCTCATATAGAACCGTTGACGACTGCCTTTCCTGTCCCCCCACCGTAAGACGGCCCCCTACACTCTACGTCGATTGTTGGCGTCGAAAAATATGACAGGACCACACGGCTGTTTAACGGGGTTCGAAGCATCTCCACAGCACCAGTCGACGAACCATTTCGACCTTGTGTGGTCCGACCACGATTTCAAGGCCGTAGACGACTGTCTTGCGGAATCTTTTCCCGATTCCTTCCCAGAGGTCCCGACAAGCTCCCCCTCGCCCCTCGACGAAGACATCGTGTCTGAGGAAGACAACGCAAATGAAGCAAACCACCACGTTGTCAGGTTTGGGAAAACCAGAGCAGAAACAGTCCGGTCACAGTCAAACCACAACGCAGGCAGTACCGAAGCATCATAAACATAGGCGGGAAATATTGTACTGCACACGTCGGCCTCATCACGTCTTTTTGAAAGCAAGAAGTTCGGATTACGGCGAAGTTCGCATACGAAGCCCTCCAACAACCCCCGTCGAACAACGCAAAAAATCTTTGTGAAGGAACACACGTCCTGGGACCATTCCTTGTGCGGGTCTCGACGCGGTTATCATTTGCACTGGTGCTGATGGCTGTCGGTGAAAATAACCGACGTTCGCGGGGATCCGAACTTCGAATACTGCGGGAAGGGCAGTGCGGTACATCAGAGTCACGAACACAAAAATTATCTTGGCAGAGCGCAACACGGAACCCTTAGTTTGTGCAAATGGAGTTGGACCTCTCTCTCGTTTTCTGCAATTGATGAATTCGTGTCCACAACAACAGCAAACCACACGACCCTTTCCACATTGAGTGAACTTCGGATGTCGGTGAACTTTGACTAAAACCGTGCGTCGTTGGCGTTCTTCGTTTCCAATTGAATTACCAGAACTTTAATTCTATAGAGTTTTTAAGCACCGTGCGACATTCGTGTTCAGATGCCGACGAAATTCAAGTGGTTCACAATCCCGGGAGGCCTACCGAATTCGCCCCAGTTGCGATTGAGCATCTCGAAAGACTTCCCAAACAATTGATAACTTGCGGGAACCGGAGGGGAACTATGTTTGTGGAGTTCGAAACTCTGCTCAAAACAGATCCAGATCGAACAAGAAGGCCTACCAAATTTTCCCCAGTTGCGATTAAGCATCTCGAAAGACTGCCCGAACAACTGGTAACCTGAGTAAACTGGAGGGGAATTCTGTTTGTGGAGTGCGAAACTCTGCTCAAAACAGATCCAGATCCAACAAGAAGGCCTACCAAATTTGCCCTAGTTGCAATTGAGCATCTCGACAGACTGCCCGAACAACT